ATAACAAAGAGTGAAAAATTTAAGGGGGTCTGAATACTTTCTGTACCCACTGTATATATATAAATAATGTTTTTAAATAAATTACTCCAGCTTCTCAAAGTGAAGAGCAAAACTATAAAAAGCATTATAAGAGTTAGTTTTGGTCCTCAAACACAACTGGTCAAGCAAGAAAACTGATATTTAGCCCAACAGTAGGATGACTTTTCATTCTGTCACTTCACTTGTCTGCTTGTCTTCATCTGTTATTAAAGAGTAAATATCCTCCTATGCCCATTGGGCTAAATCACAAACTATAGTGCTCAACCCTTGAGGACAGACATCACCATTCAAAGATCTGTCCAACACAGACAGGATCATCCCTGGCAATAGGATCAGTTTAGCAGAGATTTGTGCACCAGGACATTGGAGAGAGGAATGAGAATTGAAAGAAGTGGAAGCAGGGATGATAAGTTAGAGCAACTGATAAGAGGACTCTGAGTCACTTCCTGAAAGATAAATTGTATTAAAGGGCTAATAGATTAACTGACTCAAGAAGACGACAGTAGCATATCCCATGGTGAAATAAAAGGCCTTTCAATGCTGAACATCAACTCATTGACCTTATAAAGCCTACTGTATCATATCTGATGCACAAAGACCTCTAAATAACCAAAATGATCAAAATTTTGCTGAAAAACCTGTTGCACACAATCTACTACACACTTTGTCATCTGATTGATAGTTTATTCTTTTTTAGCAAGTAGAATGCCTGTTAGTATAATTGTACCAGTGTCCACCTTCAGGTAGTGGTTTATGTGTCTTTCTGCTGTGAAATCATTACTGACTTTTATAAAGTAAATATAAAAAAAATCTTTGATATTGTTATTAATATTTCAAGATGAACACTTACTAGACTGAAGCAACTTTTTTCCATAGATATTTTCTTCTAATTGTTTATCCATCAGGCTTTTGAGGAGAGTTTATTTTTCAATCTGTTAATGATTTGTCTGATCTGGCAATCATCATTGTATTGCACTGCATTATATGCTTTGAAACTAAATAGCATTGATCATAAAACTAAGCATTTAAATATCTTAAGACATATTGGTGATACAGAGTGACAGTTGATATTTATATTATTTTATGCAAGTAGTCTGCTATACTCTTAAAAAGATCTAATTGACTTACATTACAAGCTATCAAAATTTCATTATATAAATTATCAGTATCTATAGCAAATTGCATATTTTTGCTCAGTTTGGGACTCTGAATAAAACTGAGCTGTTTTTTCTCTCCATATTTTCACTACATCATACTATGAGCCATAAAAGTCTGATATGACTAATATGATATGAAACAAAAAACACATGAAAACTGTTGTTGATTTTGTCTAAAGGTTCAATAAAGTGTTCCATTTACGAAATTTGACTTTTCTGACTATTAGGGTTAATATTATTATAAAATAAATCGCATGCGATATTTAACGCGCATCTTGTCAGAAATCCGGTTCTGTAATCAGCGGTAAATCTCCATCACCTGCGGGCTTTCACATTGAGCAGCATTAACTACACAGAGCCGTTGTTCACTGA